CACACACACACACACACGTGATTGGCTGCCTGGCAACACAACAAAGCCACATGACCGGAGCAGCATTAGCTAGACTGCTACTAGCACCAACCTGAGTCTCCGCCGGGGACGGTCCTCTGGACACAGGGGACATACAGCGCGGTGACACAAGCGACCGTAGCGCCTGTCAGCACCCAGCTCGTCCTGTGCTCCGCAGACATTTTTCTTTCTGGAGAAACACCGACAGTTTTCAAACTACTGCTACTGGTGGCTGACTAGCGAGCGTTAGCATCCATACATTCCGGGCTCTGATGTAAATAAAGCAGTTACCTAAAACCCGATGTTAGTCTGGAGCTGGAGTGAAGTTAATGTCATAGTAAAGACATAACTGTCGGTTTTATTTGTGCAGAGCTGACAGTTGGCTAGTTTGATACGTTTCTGTTCCCGGGAAGTTGCAGTCCGATTCTCGCTGACGAGTCAAACTCGCGATACTACCGGACGCGCCATTCCTAAAAGTTACAGCAGTCATCGAGGAAGTTGTGATTTGTATTGTAGCTGGATACTACAACGTTATATAACAATTAACGGTCGTTGTGGGGTTGTAAGACGAGTGTTTATCCTCGGACGGGTTGCCTACAGCTAGTTACAGTACTTCCTGGTTCAGAGCTGAGATCTCTTGAGTTCACAGGGCGGAATGAGGGAGGGTCTGTCTGCAACTCTACATGAACAATTATCTGAAAACAACTCATAATAAATAAAGTTGATTTGTTCCATCTTTGTGTTTCTTCTTCTTAACCCCCATGCACTTGTTTGTGTTTCTTGGGTGTTTTAAGTATAATATGGAGTTTAAAATGAATTTACAGAGAAATAGGTAATTATAATGTATGAGTGCTTTTTTTTTTCAAACTGCTTATTCAAAGTCAAGAATGCACTCCAAACCTAACTGGACCTTGTGGTGAAATTGCCTGGTTATGAATCCCGGTTATGTGTATACCTTGTCCACAAATAGAACTGTGTAAGTGGTTTGCAGTCTTTGACCATTGCACAATAGCTTTCACTCAAGTTTACAGCCCGCACTAACTCCATATTTGTCTCCAACTAAACGCGTGCTTCATTCTGTGCACTATTGTTCTGTCGTTGCAGAAACCTGTTTTCTCAGTGGACAGGTGAGTGATGCTCATGCATTACAAGGGGTTCAATAGAGAGGGCCAGCTTAAGAGTGTTGACATTCCAGGTAAACCCAAACTCAAACATAGCTGCCTGTCTTATCCGATTTGGAGCTTTTAAAAAAACAAAAAGCCCCACGCCATAGTCCCTGTGGCCCTCTTTAAACTGCCGGGAGTTGAAATATGATGGATTTGTCTGAAATTCCTAAAATGTGTTTTATTGTGACCAGCAGCTTTTTGGTGGTACACTGCCAGCAAGCAGACACTTTGAATGACACTACTTCATTTCAACATTATCATACTACTTTCAGCTGCTAATACACAATTAATTGTAGCAGAAAAGCACCAGATTATAACTGAAACAAGATACATGCACCTGTAAATGTCTCACAAGTGTCCATATTTCACAGGTTGAAGGTGACTGTAATAAAGAAATTGCCCTATTGAACTGATAATAATCCCAGCCCACCATAAATGAGTCTGATCCCTCAGTAAATTGAGCCCTTGGTGAGGTGGAGTGGTGTCAGCACCTAGCCAACTCTCAGATGGCTCTCTAATCCTCGCTTCCCTCTCACCACCACCCTCATCGTCTAATCAGTCTTGAACACACACACAACGCTCACACCCATCTGACACACACACACACACCCCAGTACTCACCCTTCCTCACACTCGGGCTCAGCCATCTCTTCAGTGTGATGTCACTGCTAATCCACGCTTGGTTATCCGCTGGGCTGCAGTGCTGCCAGAGGGATATGGGGAGGAGATGGAGTGAATTTGGGGAGGTGGAGAGGAGGGTAGTGTTGGTGGTGGTGGTGACGGGGGGGGGTAATCAGGCACGTCATAAAGTCTCCTCTCTAAAACCACCACTTATTAGCCCCCGCACACATAGAAAACCTAAGTCTTGCACCCAGCCAAACTGAACAGTATATGCACAAATGCTCAGTGGAGTGTTAATATGAACACATATTTCAGCTCTGATAGGAAAGACAAAAAAAGAAAACCCAGCTGCGAGTACATTCACAGAGGCCTAGCTCCTATTCCAGGCACAGAGGAATCATTAGAGAGTCTGCTGGATTAAGCACATCCTCCAGCCTCCCCTCCTCTATCCCATGCATTCAGAAAATGCAAGGCCTTTTTTTTTTATTGACAGCTTGTCCAAACAGAGGAATTACCCACATGGTTGAGGCACTCGTTCCATATGGCACCAAGCTATTAACAAACATTAGTTGACTGTAATAGTGGTGGTATTAAATTCATTATCTTTTCAGATTCTATGTGAGGTGTGTGATTTTCTGTATGTGTGTGTGTGTGTACATGCACACGCACTCAGTGTGTGCCAGTGTGTGTGATTAGAGACTTCTAATGTTCCGGCTCTGGGGATTTGTAGCATGAGATAAGAAAGGGCATTAATGGCGAATTGTGACGGTCCAATAGAGCAAAATTGTTGTTTGAAATGTGCGTATGTTTCCTCAGCTGAATCCTTTTTACACTAACAATCTACACATTGTCTCATCTGATTGTGGCAGATTTTTTCAACTCTGTGTCAAAAACACACAGGGCAGCCACGCATGAGCAAGTGGCTTACGAGACCACTGAGTGATATTCAATCTATTTGATTTTGTATTTTCCTCACTTACCACATATCTGTTTTAATCTTACCTTAAGCATCCTTGAAATGAGGTGTAATCCAGTTAAGCCCTTTTGAATCTGCTTCACAGCCATATTACACCCATTCATCGTCCCATAAACAGTCTCACTACTAAACAGTGGCTCACTGAGAGTGTCCACAAGCCAAAATCCACATACTGTAGACATTAAAAGATCAAAAACGGTGGTATTTGCATTGATGCAAGTGTGACACAGGCACTGCAAAGAGAAACTGAGCTTAGCTGACTTTCCCTAGGTTAGAAATATAACAAAACATCACACATTTTAAGCACAATATGACATAGTAGACAGTGAAAGATAATACTTTGGATTTGGAAATGTTGGTTTATTGGCACTAATGACCATTGTAGCCTATAATAGATAATAAAGTTTTCAGAGCAAAACCAAGTCACTCTGGAGACATACTACCTCCTATCATGCAAAACTGCCACCCTCTTCTTTTACTCAAAAATCCGTGGAGCCATATTCTGGACAAAAACTGTCAAGCGAAAGCTGCAAGATGCATGACGCAAGTTCACACGTTTGTATTAATATTCCAAACCTTGGATCAAATGCTGGGCCAACAAAAAAAAAAAAAAAACAAGTCAATTTTCCTGCATTTTCTCTAAAACCAGTCTCTTGAACCAGTGAATAAGTCTTCAGAGAGATTAATTCTCCTCTGTGATCCTGTTCTCATTACAAGAAGCAGGGGACTCAAACACACATAATAACGGGGTGCGCTGCTGTTCCTTTGTAACATGTGGCTACCTAAATGATCCTAAATAAGATAGATGACAAGGATAAAGAAAATCATAATCGGCATTTTGCACAATGGAACATAATAGTCTGAAGAGAACAAGGGGACAACATACAGAGCTCCTGTTCCCGTCGCCTGGAGCAGCACACCTAGTCGAGAGCAATTAAAATGAGAGGATTCAATTTTGTCAAACACCAGGAACCTAAGATAAATCTTGTATCTCATTTTCCAGCGGAGGACACTCCCTCACACCGGTGCTATCATGTTTGTTATGGTACTTTTAAGAAACAGCTGGCTACTGACAGAGTTGGTAAAACAAACCCCCCTTCCACGAATGACAATAATCCTAATCATTTCAGTGTGAGACCCAGGGGTGAGAGAGAGGGAGAGTCGGGTGAGAGTGAGAATAAAAGATGGTCTCAGACTGTGGTGTCGGTGGAAAAATTTAGACAGAGAGAAGGGGTGGGGGAGGGGGGGTGCAAGACAGCACGTCTCTGCATGGTTTCCATGTGGGAGAAATCCACTTACTTGAACTGATAAAGATTTAATTAACACAAGACTCTGCAATTACTCCATAATTAAAGTAATTTGTCCCCTTGTTTGGATGAGTAGGCAAGACGCCACATGTGCCTCTGTAGGAGCAAATGAGAGAAAGAGGGCATCAGAGGCTCAACGAGGTAGACTCTTAATGTTTGAATTTAATGCTTGATTCTCCAAACCTATTCTCCCCTCATATGTTCTAATAAAATATTTGTATCAGCTTCTCTTTAGCCTGTGTTTATTTGCCTTTTATTTGACAACTCATTTGTTATTCATTGAGAAAGTAATAAGCTGAGTAGGCTGAGTACAAAGTATCATCAAGAGCCACATGAAATAGTAAATAGGCCTGATATAATCATAATCCTCTTCAAACTGCACTGCATACAGCTTGAATTGTGTAATGTTGCCCCTGCAAAGCTTGCTGAAAGCCAAAGCAGAAAAAAATACCCCCCAAAATGTGAGGGTTTGTTTGACAAGATGAAATTGCATGAATCAAAAGTGGGAGTCCCGTATGAGGTGTTTGACCTTGGGTGAGGATAAAGAAAGGTGAACCAAACTTACAGCAAAATATCAGTGCAGTGTCAGTGACTGAAAACAGTCTGTGTAACAAATAGTGACTAACCACACAAGACAGAAATAGTGAGGAATTAACAACATCGTCCAATATGTGCCACCGTGCCATGGCAGTCCAATTTGCAGAGAGATAAAAAAAAATATTTTCAAAAATGTCTGCCAAGTTTACTATATTAAAAACCGGGGAGACAAATGTGTCTTGTGTTTGCTTCTGAGGGTTGTATGTGCCGTTACTTAATTTACGCGAGGGGAAGAAGCACTATCTCTTATTTACAGATGATGATCTGCATATAATTTGCCTCAGTTGCATGCTGGGTAATTGAGGTAAATATCACAGCCTTCAACTTGCCAGCTAAGGTGTCCTGCTGATAGCTTGGCGCACAGCCCGCAGCCACCTGTGGCATTTCACATGTTAGGTCTGGGGGCAGATGGGATGCATAGAACTGAGGCTGAACCCTTTAAAACAGCTAGTTGAAGCTGTCTTTCTGCTATGTGACACTCAGCCATTGCACATTGTATTCCAACCTACATATTGCTGGCTGTTGTCAGGTGAAAAAACAATTTTAAAAAATGTCTACCTAAGGAAATAACTTTAGCGTTCTATTGCATTTTGATGTTTTGTGAGAGTTTTATCACACAAGTCTAACAGATTTTCTCCACTGACAGACTGGAGTTAGAATGGACTAGACAGCAGCAATAAATTCCAAAAGTATAATATTATTGCATTATTATCACAATGCAGGTTCTTCATAATTATGCTCTTAATTTGGTGAAAGACCTTCCTTAAAGGGGCACTCCACCAGTTTTAAACGTTAGTTTACTGTTCTCGGGGAGTACAACTCAGCTCGTGAAAACAGTTGTATTCTGTG